TAAAAAATATAATAAAAAAATTGAATTTGCAAATGTCGAACACACGGGTGTCAAACTCAAGGCCCGCGGGCCTGATCTGGACCACCGCATCATTTTATGAGGCCCCCTAAAAGAAAATCATGTGTGTCAACTTGCATGGTCCTTACTTAAAATAAATGACCGAAAATGTCAAATTATCATGTGTAATAAATTACATTGAGATTTTTGCAATTATTTTGTTACCCTTACAAGTAATAATGCGATGAAAAACCCTTTTGTGGTTTCACTGTCATAACGGCCCTCCGAGGGAAGACGTAACTCAAAAGTGGCCCGCGACAAAAATGAGTTTGACGCCACTGGTCGAACGTCAATTATGCATTTTTATATATTTACAATTCAAAACTAACTAGAAGTCCACCAGCGTGCACAAACAGATTGCGATTATTTGACGCACATAAAATGAGAGTCGATTTATATTTTGAGTGGGGGCAAAATCCTCAGGGCGATAAAATGATAACTGTTGGTCCGTTCCCACACCGCAGTGCGCGCATCCATTGATAAATGTGGATCAGAAGCGGCGCATGTCAAAGAGAAACCCGAGAAAGCTGCAGCGTCCTAATCTCATTAGCCACCGTGAATGAGCTTGGAGGATATTTGCCGAGTCACTCAAAGGAACCGCTGGAAATAAGAGTTGTCAAAATATCCCAATTACGATTGGGATATTTTTACTCGGCCGTCATCATTGCTGCTTTTTGTCCAAAAAAGTGTCTTCTTTCTTTCATCTTTGCTTGTCCACTTTTGTCCTCTGTCCTCCCATCCAATGCCGTCTAAATGTGCGCAGCTGGATATGCCTTATCTTGTGTATCCCGAGGGCCTTATAAGCGTCCTCACCGAAACCCCCCCTCCTCCTCCTCCTCCTCCTCCTCTACCCTTCCTCAACCCCCGCGAGGTAAGCTCTCTGCCCCTGACCGCCCCCCTAACCCCTCTTGTCAGGGCATCTGCTATTCCAAGTGGTGAAAAGCCTGCAACCCACTAAACTCGCACCCTCATTCCTTTGGGAGCGCCGCCGCCCGTTACTAGCCCTAATTCAACTTTATGTCCTATCGTTACATATGGACAGTATATACACATCATATATAGTTGCACGTGTAAATATCTAGGAAGGAGATGTGCTCTGAATACAAATCAACATTTTAACGGCAGATGTTGTTTTGGAGGAGGAGCTGTCTTGCTCTTTGGATGACACTAACTTTGTGTTTTTGAATACCAGTCTGAATCGGAATAATAACCATTCATTCATTCATTTTCCGATGCGCTTATCCTCACATGGGTCGCAGGGGGTGCTGGAGCCTATCCCAGTTGTTGTCGGGCAGTAGGCGGGGGACACCCTGAACCGGTTGTCAGCCAACCGCAGGGCACACAGAGACCAACAACCATCCGCACTCACACTCGCACCGATGGACAATTTAAAGTGTTCAATCAGCCTGCCATGCATGTTTTGGGAATGTGGGAGGAAACCGGAGTACCCGGAGAAAACCCGCGCAGGCACAGGGAGAACATGCAAACTCCACACAGGGAGG